GGGGAGGGGGGCGGGGCCAGAGCCTGGCCTTCAAGGCCCCCATGGGTGGGGGGGCAGGGGGTGTTCTTTCCCCTCCCTCCGGCATCTGGTGGAGGGGGCAGGAGGGGGCTTATCCCACTGCACTCCCTGCAGTGGCAGTTGGTTCAAGCAGACCCCACTGCAGTCCCCTGGAGTCAGAGGGGAGAATAACTCCTGACCTTGCCCCCCATGTAAGGGGCCATGCTGGCTGGCCTCTGGCCCTGCCCCCACCCCTGGAGCACTGAGGGGGAGCAACCCTGATGGGGGGGCTGCAGACTGTGTCATGGTATCCTGGAGCATGAGGCTCTTTCCAGCGGGGGGGGGCGGGGGGCTGTGCTGTGAGCGGTCCAGGGAGAGCTGCCTCAGATGAGCAGTGGCAGCAGCTCTAGGGGAGCTTCTGAGGCTATGGCCTCCTCCAAGCCCTGGTGCCGTTGCTCATTGCAGTCCGTGGCAGCTCTGACTCCCGCTCGCCAGCAGGGTCCCCTAGGTGAGGGGGCAGGAGAGGGCTTATCCCACTGTCCACCTCATGCAGGGAGCAGGCGGCGATCAGGTCAGTTATACCCTGGTTGTGGTCCCATGGGGGCAATAGGGTTAGAGGGGGGAATAACCCTCCTCCCTGCCCCCTCTGCCTCAGGGGCCATGCCGGCCTGTGTTTGGCCATGATCCTGGCTCTGCTGCTGCAGCAATGAGCGGGGAGCATCTGGTGTACTCCAGATCAAGTCCATGCTGGTGGGACAGAGAGGGGGGAATTAAATTCCCTTCCTGGCCAATTTACTTGAGGTTACTGCCGGGGCTGGCCATGTCCCCCTAGCACAGCTTCCCTGCAGCCAAGGGCTGCTTTAGCACCTCTGACTCCTGGCCCGAGCCACTACAGGCATGTGCCTGCATTTCGAGAATGTCTGTTCACTTGCAAATTGGTGCAGTCCACGCAGGTTAGACTGACCTGCAAAGATTGAATCAATTCAGGCTCTGGCTTTTTGAATGTCTGTGCCTAGCCTAGATGTTTGTATACCTAACAGTGCATGGCACCATGCATGGCAGTGCATGCCACCTTGTGGCAGCCTTTAGAGGATCTCATGGCACCCCGCAGTGCTGTGGCATTGTGGCTGAGCGTCACTTGCCTACCATGTATCTAACAGGAAATGGCTAAGTAGAGACATGGAGAAAGATGGAGTTTAGGGATTCTGAGTCAGACTGAATCATATTTCATATATCATTGGTTTACTGTTAAATAAAAGCATGTGTGTGAAACCTGAGATTCCCTATTACCTCTAAAATACTACAGGTCCTTTGCAAATTCTGTGCCTTTTTAAGGATGTATTAAATATTTTATTAAATAATAAATATAATATGATTTTGCAAGACAAGGGAGAGAAGGGAAGAGAGCTTTCCAGAACAGAAAAGGATGTTAACTTTGTAAGAATTGGTATTACAGTTCGTTGAGCTACACAGCCATATTATTCATGTAGATCAAAAACAAAGTTGGCTTGCCATTATTGAATAAGTTTGTTCTGACAGATTCTTTTGCTGTGAGAAACTCCCTTTACTTAAAATGGAGAATACTGGTAGAGCTCTTTCTTTGTAAGGTATTTCAATACTATGGTGATGCAGGCAAGATGGGTACCTAAAACAGACCATCTATACTGTATTTATTTTTCAATTTCTCTGTGCAGTAGGGAAGTGCTATTATTCCATTTTTGTCTAGGGAACTGAGGCAGTGAGACTGAGGAACTTTAACAAAGTTGCACAGAAAGACTCTGTTGGAACAGAAATTTTAGCTTGACCTCCCACAATCCAAACCAGGATTCTTCCAAAAGGGCAAACAGATATTTATTGTGTGCCCACTGTACGGCAGTGGCTATAGATCAGCTGGCATACAGATTTCCTGGTGCCATTTTATGATTGTTTATGCTCCATAAGGTAATTTTAGAAAGATACCAATTTCACTGGAAGCCAGGAAATAATTTCAGTGAAAAACAGATGTTTTATTTTAGCTGATCATACACAAAGATAACTATACAACTGTCACTTTTGAAGGCCTACAGATTAGATGAAAATGAATATTTCAGTGAACTATAGTTTCTCTCTTTTGCCCTCTACTAATACATTAAATGATCAATTTGGAGCTGATTTATTGTAATGTTTTACCAGTATTTCCCTTTCACTCTACCTGGGACAAGATGGGTGCACAGGGACAAAGTTACTAGGGAATAGGTACTGATAGATTCACTTCTGTTCACCAGCTGGTCTTTCCTGAGCTTAAGAGAGGATTTGGATGTACGTATATTTTTCATGAGAACATTTGAGTTGTGTTTCTGGGGGCAGGCCGAGATGGGTTGTCTAAGCCTGCATGAGGCTTAGGTGAAGTTTTGGTGCCTAGGTTCCAAAGAATGATTTATTGTGTTGCAGTGCCTACAGCCACAAAAACCCATTAGGCAACTAGATTCATTTGGTGCCTCCATTATACTGCAGAATTCCCAGGGCATCTATGCTAGGACTTCTGAACATGCTCAAAAATTTGAGTTAGATTGCTTAGGTGTTCCTGGGTGTGTTTACATGTGCACTAGATCCAGTAGCAGTTTACTCGCGAGTAAAATACTCATGAGTAATTGGTCCCAGGCAGGCATCTACAAGTGTAGAGAAGTGGGAGCAGATTTGCTGTTAATAGCTGCAAACTGCTCTATCAGGGGCCCTGCAGTGGGCCCCTGCTGCCACCAGGGGGAACTTCAGGACCCTTCTGGGTAGTAGCTCAGGGGCTGGCAGGGAGCACCGGGCCAGGAGACAGTTGTCTCTTGGCCAGGGCTGGGACATTACTCCCCCTGGGGGCTGCCTGCTGGAGAGCCTGTTCCCTGCTCAGCTCCACATTTTCCCCAATAGTCCAGTTATGATCGTAGGAAAATAGGGTTGAAGGA